ATATAAAAGATAGATATGCTGGCGCGGACTATTTAATTCAGAACTATTTAAGACAAACAATTCTCAGGTACATTCATTCATTTTTTGCCTAACTCTAAAGATTTAGGTAGATTTAACATATTAAATAAAATATATTGTTATAAATTGTAATCTATATATTATTCTGACGATAAATTGTTTAGTAGGTTTTTTGTCAAAAGAGCATCATACATACATAAATAGTACTCACCAACTTTCGCATTTATAATATTAATAGGATTAGTTCTTAACATCATTAAATCATGTATTCTGAATACTTATCCCCCTTTAAATTAGCAAAGTTTTCTACTTCTTTGCTTAGATTAACACAAATAAAGGTACTTATATAATTATTATATGCTCGCTGTACCGAGACATCGTCACATCAAAACAGATATTTTATTTATTTAAATTAGTATAAATAAATAAATTTGCTAAAGTATCATTTTTAGTTACTTTTTATTACATGAGCTAAGTGTTGGTGAAAGCTGTAAACTATCACCTTTTGGAAGTTGATTAAAAGGTGGCCTTTTCTGCGTATGTTAGTATCTACCTGCGAGCAAAAGTACCACCAAAATCAGTCTAGCCAGTCTAGATATTAAGCAGAACAAATAGGTAGACCAAAATATAAAACCTTTCAACATTTTATTTTGACGAAGAACTATCGTATTTACATTGATGCGCATGAAGTAAAAAAAAATTATTTTAATATCAATTACACCCCAAATTTATTTATTACTGTACATGTAAGAAACTATTACTGCAGCATAACTGTAGCATTTACATAGTTGTACTATTACCTACCTGTTATCTACAACAAAAATAATGTCATAGCTTTAAGCGAAGTCAAATGGAATGATCTTATTTGATCCTTTGAAAGGTTTCCATTAACGCTCATTGTAAACGCATTGATTTTAGAGCTTATTCATTTTATTGTTGTTACTTTTTATTCATTCATTAGTATCCAACTTAGGAAAAAATTATTACAGATGCAATTCCTTTAATAAGTATAAGTTACAGATATCCCCGGAGTCTTTTACCAATTTCATCTTTCTTCAGTAAGAGCACGTAATAAATTTTCAGAGATTCTCTCGGCAGACCTCTCAGATATGGACTTTTAATTAACTGTTATGGATTTTTAATTCAGTTGTTTCATCTGTCTCTGATCTAACAATATGACTGTAAGAGCGTTCCTGAAATATGTGATATCTATTATTGAAGAAATAAATGATTACATGTTACTGTAAATTTTACACTTTATGCCCTTTCTGTGTTTTTATTGCATTTGGAAATTAATGGTTAACTTCATTATTTTACAGTTTTAAAAAGATGAAAATAAAAACTTTATGATTTTTCAATACAACGTATAATTTTTAATTATAGATTTTTAAAGACGACATATATTTTAAACAAAATTGAATCTTTGAACCAAATGACAGCAAAACCAGTATTTCACCGCCAAAAAACCAACGCCAAAGTCAAATTTGTCAAAGCCCTGGTCTATGAAATATGCTGCACATTTATCAACCAACATATATGTTTTGCTTCTAACTCTTTGAACTGTATAGCCTTTTGCACATGGTACAAAATTCATTTGCTAAATCCTCCTACTTTAAATACTCTTTTTCCTTGACCATGGATAGTTTATAAAATTACGGATACATTTCTTTTTACACTATTAACACCTCTATTTAAGGATTTTATGTCTTAATTAACTTTTTAGCACGTCTTTTAACAAACTCCTTGGTCAAATTGTTATTATATTTTAATATGTTGTTTTAAAAGATACCACTTTAAATCAATATTACTTTTCATTTTAGAAGATAAGCAACAAATTAAGTCACAAATTCTTTATTTTGAAAGATTCAGCTTTAAACTATTGCAGTGTAACATTTTAAAAATTGTGGTAAAGTAAATTAAGTTAATACAAATCAAGTTTCGTGTTGAGTTGTATGCTTGAAATCGTCTTTATTAGTCACCTTATAATAAAGTTTCTTTCTTTTGTTTTTTTATATTTGATACAAATACAATTTGCACTTTGTTTCATTTACGAGGCAGGCAATAAATATGTTTAGAAGTGTCCTCATGAAAGTACAAAAGATTTGTCTTCACAAAAAAGAAAACTTCGTGTTAAATCAATTTAAATTTTAAAGTAACTCAATTAAGTCGTCGTCATCGTCATCAGCCTATCAGCGCCCACTGCTGAGCAAAGGCCTCGTTCTCACATGGAGAAAGTTTGAGCATTAATCAAATTAGGTCATAAAAAAGTAAAAGATATATTTTTATTGTAGCTCTAGTTTATCAAGCAAATCATCATGTTATTTTGCAATACAACATTTTTGGAATGAATCATTCTTAATAATAATACTATTGCTTATTTTCACTTTGCTAATGAGGCCAAAGATTTTTTTATGATTTTTTTTGTTCGAAAAGCAAGAACTTTTAAAAGTAAAGACGAAAGGTTCTCGTTATTTTTAACAGTTTCCTTTTAAATAAAAAAGGTCAAATAGAAAACTAATGATCACTGTTACAAAAGACTGAGTTTGTCTTTCTGAAATCGAGCTCTCACTTTTCTTTAATCTTGGACCAACTAAATGGAATGGTACTTTTTTACAATCAGTCACCCGAAATCTATAAATATCTCATACGTATTGTGTATTTGAATGCCTATTTAATAATTTGAAATCGAGCTTTCACTTTCCTTTAATCTTTGACGAACTAAATGGAATGGTACTTTTTTTTAAGTAGTTTAAGCTATTACTTAATAATAACCCAAAAATAAATTGGATTTCTTTAATAATTCATACTTTAAGAAATCGTGAAATGATTATTAAATTTTTTTTTATGTGTAGTCTAAGATATAAATTCTAAAAAAAAATGTTAGGAAACCAAATAAAAGGGCCAAATATGTAAAAACAGCTTCATACTAAGGTAATTGTTTCATCGTTCCGCAATTTTTTTATTGATCGCAGTTACAATATTGACATTTTTATCAAGTAATATATGTATTTAGTACTATTTTAGTTACAATCCAACCAGGAAATAAGACATTTCAGTATCCAAACTACCACAAACATAATATTATGCTCAATTATTATGCAACTTATATAGAAAAGTTGTATTTTTGGAATTATCATTGAACATTAATTCACTTTGTCAGACAAAAAAAAATATTAAAGGAGGTTAATGTGATACTAGTATAAGTAAGTATAAGTTCAGCAAAAGACAAGCAAGCGTATTTTTAATATGGAAGTACATAAAGTTCATTTTTAAGGTTTGAATAATTTAAGAAAATAAATTTAAGACAATTCCCATTGGTCAAACTGTTCACTTTATAACTTTGCCGTGAGTAGATATGATGTTATAGGGTAATTAATTTAGAAGTCGAAGCTTACTTTCTTTAATAATCAGTGACATTATTGTCATTTCCTTCGATTTTCTCCAGAAAACATTGAAAAGATGCAAACATGATTTATGTCATTTGAAAAAACTTACTTTTTTATGTTGCTAGTGGACTTCATTTTAAATTCAATATAGTGAGAACATTAAATGTTTTTGTACATTCAAATGGTTAGCTAAGTAAAACACTGATTAACTAATATTTATGTACTTTCAAAATATAATATCTTAAGTAGATTATACTAACATTAAGTAAATGAAATAATGAAAGAAGTAACATCAGACGTTATTGAATACATTATCAAAATAATTCTTTGAATCAGAATATTATAAACTCAATAGGTAAATCAAAATAAATCCTTGAATTTACGTCTTATGTATTTGTTTAAATACTTAGTTCTTTTAAAACTATTATGGTTCTGTTTTTTTAATATGAATGCACAATTAAACAAGAGTGAACTTTTTTTTTTCGAATATATAACTTCGACCTTGATATGCATCAAGTCAGTTGTTATCCACATTTAGTAGTACAAGCATCATCGAAAGTTGTTGGACAGTTGAACTGGTAAATAGCCTATTATTATTTATCCTTCATAAAAAAAATTAAATGTATATTAAATAAACCTTGTCTTATATATTATATCTAGTTCTCGCGATCCAAATAATCATTAAAAGCATTAGTTATTTTATATTATAGCAAAGTACCTCAATTTATTATTACTTAATATTATGAAATATTTTACTATTTACAAGTTCTTATGGGACTACATTTATGTTGTAATTATTTAGAGAAGCCTAGCAATTACAAACAGCAATATAGTCATCAATACTCTGCCTTGTAACAGTGATATATCAAAAATAACCTTTTAAATGTTTAATCCATTTATATGCCTTAAATGAAATGCGTTTATTTTTATATGAAATGATAAACGAAATCCTCACTCAAAATTTTATTTAAATCTCGTAAATCTCATCTTAATTCAAAAACTCAAAGTAAATTACAGTCCACTACTAATTTAACTACAGTTACAGCGGTATGGGGCTGGTAAAGTTAAGATATTTTTCTTTACTTTGTATTTATCATTATTCTCGCCAGGCGGACACTGGTTTTATTAAAATAAGTATTAAAACTGGTTAGATTTATTTAAATAAAACTAATATTTTCGGATGTACTATCGCGTTTTTCATTATTTTAAACTACATATTCCCGACTTTCGCTTACTTTACAGCAACTATGCCTATAAGTTGGTTTTGTTATCTGTCATTTAACGCCAATGATTTCTTAATTTCCTCACCGAATGTGTGAGTTTCCTAGAAACAGTATATCTCAAAGTATTGTCAGGATTCCTAATGACAAGTATATCAAGAAGCTAAAGAATTATTTGAGTCTAATTCTATTGTGAACTGAATCTTGTTATTAATAGAATGAAGGCAGTTCTGAAAAACACTAAAATTTTAAGTCAAACGGCAAACAAAACACGTCCGTACTTCCATCTTATATATCTTCAATAATATCAGTTTTATATTTATGAGTTCATAACCTAACTTAACTTTTGTATTTGTGTGATGAAGTTAGATTCGAGATGCTTCTGTTGATATTGCTGTGGATGTTGGTATTTCTATTTTGGATATGGTTAAGAAGAGATATAAATAAAAATGAACCACCAACATTGATTAATTTAAACTGGAAAAAAATATACCGTTTTGCAGAAGATGGTGAAGGTAAGTAACATATGTACAAAGCTAAAATTTTTTACTGTACTTATTGAGATATAATTCTGAATCGCCTTTTACTAAATTCAGTTATTTTAATGTTTTTTGAAAAAGTTGTTCGGTAAAATAACATATGATTTTTTAAATTTATCATAACCGAGGCTAAATGGGATGTTTATGAATAAAAGTATGTGTACTCTGTATTATTTGTTTGAAAATTACATCGTGATCGCTTATAACTTTGAAAAATAATTTTAAGTTGCCGATTTTGATTATGTTTAACTTACAGCTACTTTCAAATTACAAAATTTTTAACTGATCATAGTTTCCATAGTTTAGAAAATATATTTATAACACTCGGTGGTACACACAATTTTGTCATATAAGTTTTAAAATTGCAATAGTGTACAAATTATCAATCTATGAAGAGCCACTCACTATAAAATAACCGTCAAATTTAGTATTCGACTTAATGATTCATAATTTTTAAAATTATTGTGTTAAATTATAAAAAAAAAACTTTTTGAAGCATCAGATATTAAATATAACTTCATTTGAACAGTTTATAAATAATGATAAAGATTAAGAATTGTTATTGCTAGTCGAACTTTCCAATGATATTTCAGGGTTTTAAATTATTATTTTTCACTAAATCATAGTTAGAATGTTTTAATGAATAAAAAAACAAATAAACCGCTAACTTAAACTTATTTATATAGGTTTCTGGGGTGTTATAAAAGAAATGAGCGCAGAATGTCAAAAACGAGATGGAGCTATGAAACTTTCGTTAGGCCCTCTAACCTTATATGGTATATATTTTTATAATTAAATTGCATTGTTTTGGTATAAGGAAATAAATGAAAATTTATTTCTTTTTATTGTAACATTTTTAAGTAATGCAATTATTTCTATCATATACTTTTTTCCAGCTATAACAGACCCTGAGGATTTTGTTACCGTATCAAATGCATGCTTACAAAAGGATGCTATTTATGACTTCGGAAAAAGCTGGATCGGAAATGGCCTCATCACTGCATCTTGTGAGTAACGTGAACGAGTTTAAAAACATTACAGTGCATGTAAAATATTTTATTTTATTTTAACTGTTCTCCTATATTTTTCTTAAAGCAATTCGATAAAAATTATTGTAAAGTAGCGTGTGCAATAAAAAAAAAATTGAAGTTTTAAGCTATAATATGTTTACATAGACCTTCTAATTGAAAAGACGTCACCAATGAGAAGTTGTATAAGGCGTCGGAGAATAGTTATGAAGACATGCACTTCGAACATGAGTGTCGGGGGCTACTTAAAAATCGGGTGCAGCCTAGTAGCAAAGACCTAAGAAAATCCTAATCTCATTGTTTTCTCTTAAAAAATTAAATTTTTCTGTTTAGTTTAGTAATGTGAAATTTAGTTTCTATGTTTTTTTTATATCATACTCGTAAATAAATGATGTATATGTCAACACATAAGTCATTATTAACAAGGATTTTTGAAATAATTGTTGATGATACTTCACTCCGCAATCATATTAACATAATTCCATTAATATACATATATGTATATGGTTTTAAATATACTATTTACAGTACCACTTTGGAAAATACATCGAAAACTATTAAATCCATTATTCAATACTCGAAGATTGAAAAATTTTATGGAGGTCTTCAACAGTCTTTCTCGTGGCCTCATCAAAAATCTAGAAGTAGAAGCTGAGAAAGGCCCGTTTGATCCTTATGTTTATACACGCCGATACACTTCGGAATTAATATGCAGTAAGTGTCTGTTATGATCCAGAAAAGCAACATAAAAATTTATTGACTATGATGTTTTAAGTTAATATATCTACTATTACATAAGTTACTTCATTCTTGATTAAAAATGCTTTGCTAATAAATGTTACTCATAGAAAAAAACATACAATAGAAGCTTATATTTATTCTGTCACACAAGAATAACACAAACATTAATATTTGAAAATTAATATTACCTTTCATTTATTTTTCAAAATAATATAATATTAAATATTAAATATTTAGTTTTTATTATTTATAACCGTTATTATATAATTGATTATTTTCATCTATTCTGAGTGATATACCAATTTTATAAGTAACTTTTTCTTTTAACAATAACGATTCAAATGTCGATAGTTTGATACTACTACTATGATTCAGGGAATATTGGAATCATAACAACGCATGAGAAATATTTGAGAAATTATTGCTACCTGGATAATTTCAATTTTCTTTAAAAATCAAGCATTTTTTAGGATATTTCGGGGTACAAAATCTTAAGTACGGGGTCTTGGATAAATTTTCTGGTTTCCTTCATAACTATAATGTTTTATAATAAAAAAAATCATTAGGTTCTTGTAATGTAATACTTTAGTACTGATTTTAATGCCGTGGACAATTTAAGCATCTATTCCGTCTTCTCGATTGCCACATTCCTTATTGGAATGCTTTAAATGAAACGTTTTCTGTTGCCAGCAGATACTGAATTCTAGTGAAAGTGAGAATGGTTAAATTTATTTTTTGCTTCAAGATTGCTTCATTGATGGATTGATTCAAGATTGCTTCAAGATTGCATTTATCTTGGGTGCTGTTTTCTTTTAATTCAAAATATATTTGTTCTATGCACCATCTCTCGGAGGATGATTTCCAGATATTTCATATTTATTTTATCAGCGTTACCCTACAAGTTGGACTAAATTTTCAAAATAAATAGAATTATTGAAATGAGTTGATATGTATTTTCCCATTATATTTATAAAATTGATAAAAATGTAATACATATATTCATACATTAACAGTTATACTTTACGAATTTTACAGTGGTTTCTTTTGGATCGAAGGTAATGGAGAACCTTCAATCCAAAAATAAATACATGAAGACGGTAGAAGAAATAATGACAATTTATACAAATAGAGCGCAGGTTTTTTTGTTTCATAACAATTTTATGTACAGTTTTTCAAGTTTAAAGAAGAAAGAAGACGAATGTATTGAGACGATAAGAAACATTACAAGTACAGTGAGTATATTAATTTTATTATTATTCTAATAGAGAATTGTACATATACGAATACTTAATTTTTTTAAATTTCATTTCTACAATTACATTAAATCTTGGAATAAAAAAATAAAAGCTTAGTTCTAGTATCGATGAAAAATTCAAATTTTAATATTTTAATTTTGTGAATTGCTAGTAAAATAATGTAATAATTTTTTACTGTGGTCCTGTATGTATTAACTGTATAGTCCTATATATGTACGTAAATTTTCTTTTCCAATTTTCTTGTAATCTTGTAATATTTTTATAAAAAACTTTTTATGCCATTTCAGTCTCACGTTGCAGGTCCATTTATAAAAATAATAATTATTGTACATACTAACAATGTAAATTTCTCATGCTAATCTCAAAAGCAGGTTTTACCATAATTGTAATAAATGTTTTAGATCCTCAGTGACATCAAAGCAACCCCTAAAATAAAAAAATGTTTGAATGCAGGAGAAAAGAAAACGAAAGGTTCATCATTTTCTTTTTATAATAGTTATCTTTTTTTATTTAATCAATATAAATTCTTCTTGTATCTCTAGGTTCAAAATTCGAATCATTGGCGGAGATTATTTTGAAAATTAGTAAGAATAATACGCACTTCACTGATCAGGATATAAGAGAACATGTAGACACATTTGTTGCAGCTGGTGAAGACACTTCTTCCGGGGTTATTATGTTTTGTTTGGTAACAGTGGGTTCTCATCCACAAGTGCAAGGAGAAATACACAAGGAGTAAGTAAATATATATACATATATATATTTTTATGAAACATTATTATTTCTTTCTGGTTCTGCTTTTCTGTATTTAGCGTAAATGCAATATTGTGGTACCTATATAGAAAAGATAAAAGGGTTTAAAAACAACAGATTACCAGCTAAATAAAATCTACATCATAGTTATACATATTTCATTTTCGTGAGAATTGTTTTGTTAATTGCTTTTAAAAACACTATCTTTTTACCTAAAACACTATCTTTATATATACAAATTAAATATATAATTGTAATCAATATTTTTTTAATTTATTATAAAAATTAATCTATACAAACCATTTACGTTAATTCTTCAAGTCGTTTTGAAAAACGTTTATAATACCTAAAGGTGTTTCTACTTATTTAATATTTCTTTTCATGAGAGGAACTGTTTCCTTTCGAATTATAGAAATACTAGCTGCGCCCCGCGGTGTAACCCGCCGATTTCCGGAATGTAAAGTAGCCTATGCCTGGACGTCAGCTTCCTGTATACAAAATTTATCAAAATCGGTTCAGCCGTTTGAGCTTGAAGAAGTAACAAACATACACACACACTCATAAACTTTCGCAATTACAATATTAGTAGGATAAAAAAAAATTCAATCTGCATGTTAAATCGCTACCAATATTATAAATGCGAAAGTAAATCTGTCTGTCTGTCTGTCTGTTACGCTTTCACGCCTAAACCACAGAACTGATTTTAATGAAATTTGGTACAAAGATAGAGTTGACCTTGAGAAAGAACAAACGATAGTTTTTACTCCAGACTTTTGGAAGGTTCTCTTGGAAACGCGGTATAGCCGAACTCCACGCGGGCGAAGCTGCGGGCGGAAAGCTAGTGTCTTAATATTTACTAAACATCGTTATTAAAATTTGGACCGTGTTGAAAACTTTGCACGATACAAGTAACTAAAATTCAGAAATTCTTCGGAACACTACTACAAATGAAATTAATGTGAAAGTCGGTTTTCTATTCTTTTTATGTAATAACTAACTAACTTCACCGGCTTCTTTTTATGTAATAATTTTTCATCTCTTAAGGTTATAAGACTTGAAATTTTAGGTTACAACAAATTTTTGGTGACGAAGACAGAGATGTGACGAAAGAAGACCTTTCAAAACTAGTTTACTTAGATGCAGTAATAAAAGAGACATTGCGTTTCTACCCAATATCACCTATTGTAGCACGGTATATAGATAAGGACGTTAAACTGCGTATGTAGTTTAGTTATTTATGATTTAAATAAGGTTCTTCTTGTGAAATTATTTAATATTTAATAGGTATTACTTTATTTAGGTAACTGCACTTTATCTAAAGGACACTCTGCAGTTTTATCCATCTACGGAATACATCAACATCCAATGTGGGGTCCAGACGTTGATAAGTTTAGACCGGAACGATGGCTTCACCTCCCATCAAATCATCAAAAATATTTTCCTGCTTTCAGTTTTGGCCGCAGAGATTGCATAGGTACATATGAATTCCAAAATTAAAAATATTTTTAACATAATTACAAAAAAAATTGTTTTGAAAACTTTACTATAATATGATAATATTATTTAATTGTAGGAAAAACCATGGTAATGGCATCTCTGAAAGTAACTATGGCTCACATATTTCGAAACTACCAAATCCATAGCAAACACACAAATGTGAAATTAAAGTATGAAGTTACGTTGAGAGCTGTTTCCGGACATCATATTACAATTACGAGGAGGATTAAAACTAAATGATTATTATTATAACAACAAAGATTGATGCAAGATTGAAGACTATTATCTTAAAAATTTCTGTATTCTGTAACTATTTCTGTAACTCTGTGGTATTAAAAGCAAGAATAGTTTTTAATTTGACTACATGGCACTCTCAGAAAAAATGATGTAGTCTCTAACTAACCGTTTATCATTTGATGTAATTGTGTAAATACATTTTTCATGAAGACAATCAAATTCATTTGTGATTATTCTTATTTAAAAATATGAAAGCTGTCTTAAAATCCTTGCTTTTTTCCCTTTACTATACAATAATGAATTAAGTTGTTTTATACAATATAATATTTATATTAGGCTTATGAAACTCTAAATAAACATCGTCCTGCTATTCATGATTTCCACTTTCGAGGGTGCAATCAAACAAAACTTAAATGACTTTGTTTAATTTTAAAACTAAATTATATTTAATTGCTTTGACTATACTGTACGAAGGTAAACATTCTGTGACACGATGTTCTAAAAGAAATATATAACTAAAAAGTCTGTTCACAAGGATCTGCTGAGTAAGATCCGTGTAGATTGAACAATTTTACGTAATAGCTATAGTGCGACCTGCGGTCACATCGTAATTTTCTTATTATTTAATATACTATCACTATAACACCGTCGCGTAACACCTCCCTCCTGAAGATCAGCGAGTATAGGAAACGTTAGTTTTGAATTGAGATGGTGGTTGATTGAGTTTGATCCTTCTGGTTGGTGTTCGTTTGGTGAATCTGCTGTACCAATGCTCGTTTAGAACGAAAAGTGAGCCTTCAACTCAGTTGAGAACTGCTTATACTCTTATGTGGTTCGCCCTTATTCTATCTTCACATATTACTTCAGTATGTATTGTTAACATTAAACTGATTCGAATAATTGAATGATGACAGACTTGGTTAGTTTGACAAGTGTTTTATTCCCCCCTACTCCCATTCACATACCTCATGATGAATGCGAGTAACTTAAATGTGAAGACGATACCACATATACTCACACCACCACAAATAATCTTAAAACATATATAAATCTGACTTTTTAATTTGACACCAATCACTGTCCAGTAAATTCATGAACTTAATATTTTCTTTATTATTAGGCTGACATGCTTGTCATATTTGAGACTAAAATTAAAAAACTTAATTCTAAAATTACACTAGGTATCATCTAATTGTAACTGTATATTTCAAATCTAAAGCTAATGCTTGCAGTAACTGCAACAATTTTTTACAATGCCAATCAATACACGTGTAAGATATATTTGAATATCCTTGTCTTCACATTTCAACTCATTATAGGGGGCTGAAGTTTATTTATTTATGAAATAAAGTATTTGTTATTATTAAGAGTAACCGTAAGAGAGAATATGAAGTGACTGTAATCGATTTTACTAGTAAATTAACCTCGAAGAGCTAAAATTAAATTTTAATGTTCTACATTAATATTACTGCTGTCGAAATTATATAAAGTCAATCCAGTTAACCTTGAGCACAGGCGTAAAAAGACCTTTTATTTCATAGGAATCTATTTGATAGAGGCCGCAGGAATTTCACTATTTAATTTCTTTATCTTTTTCAATCGAAAAAGAATATACTCCATGCATATAGTAACACAGATTTTATGTAAAATACTTCGTACTTCGTACTTATATTAATCTGTTAAAACTATTCTTCCTGAAGTGCGATGAACCCGGCCCCAGTACGGTGAATGCTAAGAAGGTACCGTCTCAATTATTAGGTTTAGTTTATTAGGATATTTTTTACACATTTATTGACAAAAAAGTAGAATAATATTTTATTGATTCATTAAAAATGTGGTAAGGCAAGTATTCTTTATTATAAAACTATTTATTTTTCTGTACTTAATAAATTCAATTAACAAGGGCATATGATTACCATGATGTTGTCTAAATTATATTTATACTGATTTTCCAATGTGTCAAATTTGCTTGAGCATGCTTGGTTACTTAAGACCTTTATAAACTTATAGGTCGAAAAAAAGTGACACATACTCACACGCCGCTTTGGAAAGAGTTTGCGTTTCATTCAGTTTCAAAAAAGAACTTCCGGCCCAATAATATAAATAAGAAAATTAAATTTTTGCTTAACGTTTAGTTCATTCGTTTTTTTTTTTTAAAATTCTTAATATTTCTAGAATTAAATAAAATTGATTCGTTACTTTCGAAATATCTCAGTAGCTTAGGAAATGTTGTATAACAATCTTTTTAACTACTCTACAAGCAAATCGATTGACAGGGATTCAAATGAACGGGCCAAATATGTAACGACAGCTTTATACTAAAATAATTCCACACTATTTCGCATTTTTTTATTCCACAATACACGAAATTGTTTTTTTTATAAAGTAATAAAATAATATTTAAATTTAAAATCAAACCAGAAAACAAGGTAATCCAGTATCGAAACTGTCACAAACAAAATATACTAAATTGTTATTATACTATTACCGTCTGAACTTAAAAACTTTTAAAGGAGTCCTTGATTAAAATTTCCAGTTATGCGTTATAATTTAAATTTTTGTTATAGAATAGTTGACTTTGTGGTATTATGATTTAATATAAATCACTTTGTTAGTCGAAATGTTACTATTAACATAGACTAATTTTTTTATTAGGCTTGTCATAACTTAAGGCAAAAAAAACAACAATAAAAGAGGGTTGATAATAGTTCAAGTTTAAGGTTTAATATTTTTTGAATATTTTGAGATTTTTTTTAATCAATGGCGGTAAACATACAGACGGCCTATTTGATTTAAGGTAGTTGTCGTCGTACAATGACTTCAACATTTATATTTATTGTTTCTAGTCCCTCGAATATGTTCCCTTTAACATTGAAGCGACTTATGCTAACAGAATATATTTTTGTGACGTTGGTGATAAAATAATTGACATCGTTTTAAAATCGGTATAGTAAGAGAATTAAATGGTTTTGTGCAATCAAGTGAAATAAACACTAACAACCGAATGTCTACTTTCAAATTGTCTAGCCTAGGGTACCTAAATAATAATATTTTAAGTAGGTTATAAAAACTTTAAATACAAAAAAAATTAACGAATTCAAATAAGACGTTATTCAATTCAATATTAATTTAATTCCTTTCACGATCATTTTAAAAACCATTAATAAAAAATGTATAAATCAATAAAATCAATAAGTATAATAAGTAAATTAAAACAAATCCATGAATTCACAACACGCGTTTTTTTATGCCTATGTCCTTTAATTACTATTATGTATCTGTTTATGAAATATGAATGTCAATTATACAAGACTAAACTTTTTCCCAATATATTAATTTGGCTTCGATATGCATCAAGTCAGTTGTCATTCATATTTAGTCGTGTATGCATCACCGAAACTTATTGGACACTTATATTGGTAAATGTTTAAAATTTTATTTTATATTTGTTTCATTTGCTACCTTATATATATAACAACGATGGTGTTTATATAGCTTTGCATATTTTTAATATTTAATAATAAAATATTTATTTACATTATATATATATGTTATTATAAATTTATTTATTTTAAAAGTATTTTCCACTACGCTTATCTCTTTCCCATTCTTGTGATCCAACTGATAATTATAAGCATCAGTTATTTTATTATTATTATTTTATAACAAGGTACTGAAATTTATTAAAATTTAATATTATCAAATAGTTCACTATTTTCAAGTTCTTGTAGCACTACATTTTTGCAATAAATTGGAGATGCCTCTCAATAATACACAACTGGACATTCAAAAATTCAAGTTTCTATTGTTTTCTATCAATGATATTTATAATGGTTAAAATAACCTTTCAAATAATTCGTTTTATGAGCAGATGATTTTGTAGGAGACTCCTATTTCAAATATTCCTTGCACAAACGAGATTCTATTTTATGAATCTTTAATCATTATTCAAAGATGTTATGGAAATTAGCAAAAAAATTATAAGTATTCTTTCTAGGCCGAAACTGGTTCTATTAATACTTTTATCCTTCACTAAAATAAAAATCTATATTTAGAATCAAATACTTTTTACGAATTAAATTTGTTTAGATAACAAAATTATCAAATATACAAAGTCGCTTTTTCAACTTCGTTCGCGTAAGCATTGGAATTGGAGTCAGAATGAAACGTATTCCTATTTTGTTATACTAAATATATTAACCAAACGTTAGCACTTCTAATTTATACATGGCGTGACATATTACAACTGTTTAACCCCGAAGCAACCGAAACTATTTTAAATTCTGAGAAAAGTTATATTTTGTCTTATTCTAATGTCTAAGCTATTGCAAATTATTGAAAAGTATTATCAAATTGGTTCAGTAGTTTTTGAGTCAAAGGGCAAACGTAATCCCTTTTATATATTTTCAGTAACCTTTAAAGGCTCATGTTTGTGTGCTTATAAATACCTAACTCTTATAACTGTGTTATTAATGATTCTTAGTAATATTTATATTTATTAATAGGTTAGATTCTAGATGTTTCTATTAATATCTCTGTGGACGTTGATATTTCTATTTTGGATATGGCTAAAAAGAGATACAAATAAAGATGAACCACCAACAATGGTTAATTTAAACTTGAGAAAACTACATCGTATTACAGCTGATACTGAGGGTAAGAACAATATAAAAGCTAAAATTTAATTCTGTATAAATTATTCATTAACTTAAAATTCTAATTCACCTTTTATTTACTTTTAATATCGAATATTTTCTGAAAATGTCATGTGGTCAAAGGCATTTGATTATTTTATTTTACAATAACCGGGCTTAAAATGAGATGATTGTAAATAAATGAATATTCGAATATATGTTATATGATTTAAAATAACACCGAGACCTCGAGCAAATCAATGCTGAATGGTTTTTAAATGGACAATTGAGATTGTATTTAAATACCAACAGTTTAAAAACATGTTGAGTTATCTTAAATGTGTTTGGATACTTGACTCTTTGTTAAAACATTTACTTAAATTTTTGAGTATGACAGTTTCATAGTTTAGCAAGAATATATATAACTCGGTGGTACATCTTGTTTTGCTACATTAGAATTGAGAATGTAGGAAATATCAAAATCACAATAGATTGGCAAGTGACTTTAAAATAACCGTTAAATTTATTATAAAATGTAATTACTGATTCTTTGTTAAATTATTTAAAAAAACTTGTTGAATCTTTTCTCATTAATGTTTGCTATGTAACATCATCAATGGTATTTTTAAAAAGTTTGAAATCATCATTTTAAATAACTTAAACTTATTTATATTGTAGGTTTCTGGAATCTAATAAAAGAAATGAGTCGAGAGTGTCAAAAACTAGGTGGAGTTATGAAAGTTCCTTTAGGTCCTCGAACCATATATGGTAAACAATTTTATAAAGAAATTATTTTGTTCTGACATATAAAATTTTATTTGTTTTTATGATAACAACTCTTGAGTAACGTTTTATTTGTATTGTATAAATATTTCAGTTTTAACAGATCCTGAAGATTGTTTGACTGTTTCAAATGCGTGCTTTCATAAGGATCGTGTTTATGACTTTGCTAAAAACTGGATTGGAAATGGCCTCATCACTGCGTCTGGTGAGTATCTTGAACAGTTCTTAAAAAAATACCGAGAATAAAAAATATATATTTTTATTCTTCACATATACTTTGGCTAAGGGTCTAGGCTTATAACTATTGTAAAGCAGTGTGTTGTATAAAAATATACGCATAAAATTATATTTTATTTAAAATAACACGTTTTTTATTATTAGAATTATCTATCTTAAAATTATTCATGAAATAGATTTGCATATACCTATTAATTACTTAGCGTCTAAATATATAGAATCAACCGGATTTTGACTTTAATTAAAATAATAAACGAAAGATTTCTTTACTTTTTGTAAATATCAAGGCTTCGGTTTTTACGAGTACGTGTAAAATCATTTCAAACAGTTATAATATTGTAAGAATCTTTAAATTCTAAAGTGTAAAATTCATAAATTTCATATCACCTCCCCCAAACACGGAAATATGTTGTATCAGAAAAACAACTACAAAATAATGGACAAGAAGCAAAATATTGTATATATTGTACAAAATGAAAAAATACTAATTATTTAAAACGAGTTTTCTTATAAACATCCGCCTTTTATCTTAGTATATTAACAAATAATAAATAAAGTATCAAATTCATTGAAAACAGATCAGGATCATTTTTTTAAATAATTTAATTACAGCCAGTTATAAAATAATGGAATGTTGTCCAATAATTTTCATTACGTGATAAAGGTCTTTAGTTATTGTTATTGTTACACATCAATAAATGATTAACAATGATTAATGTCTAAGTCATAGTTGACAAAGGTTTTTAAAACGATTGATTCTTAATGAGATCTCAATCCACAGTCATATGAATACAATCTTATTAGAATATGCTTATACATATATAAAGCTCTAAATGTAATATTTATTTTTACAGTACCTATTTGGAAAATGCATAGAAAACTATTAGATCCACTATTTAGAGCTCGTATATTGAATAATTTTATGGATGTCTTCAACAACCTTTCTCGTGTCCTTATAAAAAATCTAGAAGTAGAAGTTGGGAAAAGCCCCTTTGATCCCTATATATATTCAAGACGCCACGCTATGGAATTAATATGTAGTGAGTATCTATTACATTATATTATCAAACATAAAAGTAATATTCAAAATATAAAGCCCGGCGTCGTCGGGGCGGTCCTAATTGCCGCCCCCATTTTCCGAGGGAGTGAGTCCGGTCTTTGCCTGGACCGGCCAGTCGCTGGTGTGCCCTGTCGCTGACAGATCCGGGGTACATCGACGTAGCAGCCGATGGCTTTCACAGTGGTTTTAGTGAGTAGGGGCCTTCCCAGGCCAAGATTCACACATCCCATCCGGCCCCACCAAGGCCGGTTGGACGGCTCGTAAAAAGAGTTTCCATGTGTCACCAAAAAAATAATATTCAAAATATGCCTATTGATATGTTTATGCTAACATTAGTTTTAAGGTTTACCTTATCGTTATTTATTAAATATTTTTGGCAAATATTTTATTTATTAAAAAAGGTACCAAAAACGAAGGGTACCAAAATATATATATCATATTTATTATACACGAATAACAACCACATGAATATTTAAGTGGTAAAAATATTACTTTAATAATGTCATGGTACCTTAAATTTAAAACCCATTTATTTTAAAAGATAACCATGATTTTTTAACCAAGAATAAAGTGGTTTCACTGGATTTTTCACAATACATCACAATCAATATTTTATAGAATTTTAAATTTTTATCGAGCAATTGATTATTTGGTTTACATTAGTAATTTAGTATTTTAGTAATTTACTTTAGTACTCTAGTAAAGTTCGATTATTTAAATAACTACGTGTGAAAAACGACACACTATTGAAAAGAACTGATATGAGGCAATTGTCCCTAAAATTCTGTCAAATTCTTTTATCTTTCAAAGTTACTAAATATTCGTTTAGTTAAAAGTAATACTGATCTAGTCGCCTTTGGACTTTACATTCTCTAGACCTGCAATTTAAACAAATTTTCCCAATGAAAAAACGTTTTTCACCGGGTTATTTTGTTATTATTTATTTTATTTATTTATTTATTATTATTATTATTTATACATTACAAATTTCTTTTACGGTGTTACAAAATCCCTGTCGGGTTTATCCGTACACCGGCATTCATTGAGAGCACTCGGAACTTTTGGTACATAAATATACTACCTATAACATTATAAACTACATAAGATTTTGAGTAACTGATGTTTGTTCAATTATACTCATATGTGAGGGTATACGTTAAAAGATTTTTAAATTACGTTAATAATACACTAGGCACCTACGATGCACTAATCGACCGGTCGGTCATTAAAACCGGTTTTGCGATATTGTATTTGAAAGAAATAACTTGTAAATGTTCAAATACAGGATGATCCGTTTCCATTTATGAGATATTAATTAATTTTATTTAATTAGGTATATTAAGTATTTTCATTAATATTTAAAAAATATTCTTTAAGTTTCTTCTTTATATTTTTTGTACTTATTTCATGTTTTAAATCATTAGTCAGATTGTTCAATAATTTTGGAACAAGATATTCTAGGGTTCGCCTACCGTATAGATTGTTAGTACGGGGTACGACAAGTCGTTCGTTCGATACACTGCGGGTTACTATTTCATGATTGATCGTTTTTTGAAAATCTCGATTAAAAAAGTTTTCTAGTAGTAGTGTATATTTGACTTTGTCATGTATTGGCATTATTTTGTATTGAGCGAACAGGTTATGATAATTACCCTTACATAAATTTTTAGTTTTATCTGGCACTACGGATTTGAGTAATCGTATTTGGAGTTGGTATATTTTATTTAATTGTGTTTTTGATGTTCTTCCGTAACTGCTAAGTCCATACGATATGATAGATTCAGCTAGGGCGTTTAATAGTAATAGACGAGTTAAAAATGGGATTTTGTTTTTTATAATAGAAATTTTTGCTAAAATTGATCTTAATTTTATACATACTTTATCTATATGCTCTGCCCAATTAAAGTGGTCGTCTATAATGAGACCTAAATATTTATGGTTATTAACTATCTCAACTTCGTCACATGTACACGATTTTGTGTTCGAATGTAAACATGCATGATTATGAACAATTAATTTTGGTATAATTGTGCTTCTATTGCGACTGGAACTAATGTACATAAGTTTAGTTTTTGATGCATCAAGTACGAGACCTACGTCATGAGACCATTTGGTTATCAGGGTAAAATCAGTTTGTAATTTTAATATAGCCGTATTTAAATCGGTTTCTGCCGCTATTATACATGTGTCATCAGCAAATTGATAAATTTCGCAATGTTTTATTAAGTTAACCACTTCATTGACATACGTGATATAGTATAAGGGTCCTAACACTGAGCCCTGAGCCGTTCCTTCTGTGACATTAACTTTGTTGCTATACTCAGTATCGACTTTAACCAGATAAGAACGATTATTTAGGTAATTTCGACACCATTCCTTTAATGGTCCTCGTATGCCACAATTATCTAGTTTATCAATTAATATGTCGTGTCTTAATGTATCAAACGCTTTACTATAATCGATGAAGACAATCAATACATGTTTTTTCGTATTTAGGTGTTTGTTTACAGTGTTAGTGAAATTAGATAACAATTGTGTTGTACTTTTTTTGGGTTGGAATCCATATTGTGTTACATTAATTACATTATTATCAGCATAAAATTTATATATTTGATTAGAGATATATTTTTCAATAATTTTATCTAAGGTGGACAAAATTGTTATTGGTCTATAATTATCATACGTTTTGTGATTTCCACTTTTATGTATAGGTCTCACTACACCAGTTTTTAGTTCAGTTGGATAATTACCAGTTTGTATAGATGTGTTTATTAGTGTCGCTATAATTGGTGATATTTTGGAGCCTAGAGCCTTTAGGTCCAAAGCCCTTATTCCATCTATCCCAGGGGCTTTATCACAGTTTAATGATTCTATTAATGTAAAGATATTGTCTGATGTTGCTTGTTTGAAATTTAACGAGGTGTTTACGGGGAGGATATACGTCGGTTTGTCTAGTAGTGCCGTATTGCAATTGGGTATTATATTTTTAACATTGTTTTGAAATTGATTAGCAAAATTATTAGCGATGTCTTTAGTTGTAGTGATATTATTTTTAAAAGCATTTAATACGATATTATCTATAGAAATTTTTAATCTACCCGTTATTTCATTTAGTATTGTCCATAGCTTTTTAGGGTTTTTCTTACTTCTAGTAATTTTTGCTTTTATAATACTATCTTTAGTTTTTTGTATTAATTTATTAGCATAGTTTCTTGATTGATTATATTTAAGTTTTAAAATTTTATTTCCTGTGTCCTTTAACCATTCCATATATAAGTTATCCCTATTTTTGCACGCATTTAAAACTTTTTTATTTGGGTATCCGTTACTAAAATATTTTTGATAATTACATACTTTGACTTTAATTTGCGATTTTTCATAACAATATTTAATATTTTTTATTATTATTTTATATATTTCTAACGGACATATCATACTATTTACTGGCTGCCAATCAATTTCTTCTAACGATTTCAAAACAATATTTTTATTATATATAATTTTGTACTTCGGACCATCCTGTATACGCTGTGGGCCGACACAAGCAAGAGCTATTGCGCGATGGTCTGCTAGTGTAGTTCCGAGCGCTGCCGTGTACACTACTTGTGAGCGGGATCTCGCGTAAATGTGATCAATACATGTCTTACTAATTTGTTTACTACACTCTTCTACACGGGTATATTCCGAGATCCCACACACAAGCCCGTGATTATACATAACAGTGCTATATTTATGGTTTACAGGACAGTTATATTTTAAGTCTAAGTTTATATCTCCTAATACATATATATCCTGACTCTGTTCTATTTTACTAAGAAATACGTCTAGTTCATTTACAAATAAGTGCTTACTATTACTAGGCGGTCTATACATAGCACACAAAGTTGCATTATATCCCCATGAAGTGTTAATTTGACCAAAAAGAAGCTCGAAATGTTGTGGTTTGTAATTTTTAGTGGTAAATCTATGAATTTTTCGTACGTACATTATAATGCCTCCACCTTTGCGTCCCGTACGCAACTTTGTGTGCATATTATATCCCTGCAGGTTGTACAAATAGCTTAGCGATTCTGATATATTAGCTTCAGTGATTATAATTACATCGGGAGTTTTTGAGCTTTGCTGAATACAGTATTCCAGTAACGAGAAATTTTTTGATTATTGACCTAATGTTTATATGTATGCATAATAGATTTGTGTTAGTAGGTATACTGTCTATAAATATTTGAAAGTTAGCACAATCTGATAATTCTAAAATATCATCTCGGATGTTATCCATATTTAGCAGAAATTTTATCTATAAAACAATAAGTATAACCTATGTACCTACGTATAATTAAGAATTATTTTAGCTTATTAACATCTTCTTTTGATCGAATAATTATTGTTTTTTCTTTATCACCTTCTTTGCGTGCACGTAAAATTCCTTTTTTGATCCAGATGAATTTGTAGGTGGTACTTAGTTCTTTTTTGGCAAACCATAGTAAATGTTTATTATACGGTGTTAGGGTTTCTCTGAGATATATGGATTTTTCACCTTCAATTTTGTCTGTAGTTTCGGGAACAATATCGACCACTTTAATTTTATAATAACTTGACTTTGCAGATTTTAGCCATGAGTTTTGAAGTTGTTCACTTTTTAGTTTGATCAGGATAGGGCTCGAATTTTCTTTCTTACCTGGTAGACGAATTGCTTCTTTGATATCTTCAGCTTGTTGATTTAGTTTTTTTGCAACCTGTTCAGCTAGAAGATAAGTATTTTCATTAACCATTTGGGGAACATTACAAATATCAAGGCAGTTAGATAATTCCCGCTGCTCTTTTTCTTGTAAACGCTGTTCCAGTGCACCTACCCTCGTCTCTAGATTATTATTTTTGTTTATGAGTTCGATGTTCCTTTTCTTTAAATCTTTTATGGTTTCTTGGCAAACTTCTAGCATTGTAATCACTTCATCCATTTTTTCACTATGAAATTGCAAGGACTGACTAAATTCTTTCATTTCGCGTTTAATGGTTTTCTCCATTTGCCTTGTTATGTCTGCCAACAGTTGCTGCATGTCAATTTTTAGATCCGGAGCCTCATTTCGTTTGTCTTCCTCCTCTTCATCATCGTCAGGAATAACAATTGAGTGACGTTTTGGAGAATTTTCTTGACACTCTCGACATATCCATTCTAGATTATCCGCTGCACGTACTGCGGACAGCTGTTTATTCGAAAGCTCTGAACATATGGTGTTCAAATGCACTACCTTCTCACATCGGTTACATTCTAAACCAGGTTTATTTTTGGTAATATATTTATTGCACTTGTCACATTTAGCCATTTTGGTTGTAATCACAGATCACTTTTTATTACACCGGCACGTGTTATACGTTCGAGCGCACGACAATGAATGATTATTTTTTTGATTAATGACAATTAATGTTATTTTATTTATAGATACGATAAAGATTTTATAATGTATACAAAAAAAACATGTATGTTTTTTGCATTTTACAGTGATTTCTTTTGGAAAAAAGTTAATGGAGAACCTTGAATTCAAAAATAAATACATGGAAACCGTAGAAGAAATAATGAATGTTTATACAAGTAGAGTGCAGGTTATTTTGTTACATAATAAATTTTTGTACAGTTTTTCAAGTTTAAAGAAGAAAGAAGACAAATATATTCAGACACTGAGTAATATTACAAGTACAGTGAGTATAGTAATTTTAGCATGTATGTATGAATATTTGTTTATAATAAGATGTTTATACATTTTAATATATAAATTCTACTCAATAAATCGAATAAACTATTATATAGAAGGAAAAATAAAAAATCCAATAAGAAACTTAATATCATCCGACACTTATTTTGAAGAACAATATTTCAACTTACAGAATAAACATAAAATTCAATAAATTTTGAAAAATATTTTTTTATTGGTGCAGTTTTATTTATAAGTATGAGAAAATACTTTGTTTAATATGTAGTATTCAATTAAATGACGGTCTTAGACACAAATTATTTTTTTTCTATAAAATGAACTTTTGACTATTGTTAGAAGGTGCATGGTTTTTTACCTTGATTGGCTGAATAGCTTCTTGAACCTGAATACTGCATGTTTGTTTTCTTGTTTTTTTATTTCAAAGAGTTGACATTATTTCTTCCAAATTTATTGTAAGACTTGCATGCAAAATAAATCAATTGCTTATTCTATTATTGGTCCGTTTTGATTAATACAGAACAAAATAAGAAAATTTTATTACAAAAACTACTTTCGTTAGATCTTTTAAATGGTACTATCTATGTATAATAATACCTATGAAAAAAGTTCATTTTTGCATTTAAATAAGTAAATTTCTAGATTGTCTAAAATTTGGAAAAAGGTCTTTTCAAAGAAAATGAAATAGTTTTTTATTGTGATCATAGTTATATTCTCTATTCTTTAATTTTCCACTCCATTTTCAGGTATTCGTCTATAATTTTACTTATGTTTGTTTTTGCCATATTTAAATTAAATCATTTTTGCTTATTTTACGTACATTTCGGACTGATCTAATTATAATATTTGTAATTTCTATACTCACACAGATTACTATTTCTCCTATTCTTCTGAAAAGAGAATTTTTACTTCAATAAAATAAATTTGTTGCAGGTTATAAATGAAATCAAAACAAGCTCTAAGTCAGAAAAGTCTTTAAATACGGAAGTAGAGAAAATAGAAGGTTTAGTATTTTCTTTTTATGAGATATTCCTTTTTAATAAAATATGTAGAGAAACTTTTTTTGCTTTTCTAGATTTCCAATTCGAACCATTGGCGGAAATTATTTTAAAAATTTGTGAGAATAATATACAGTTGACTGATCAGGATATAAGAGAACATGTAGACACATTTATTGCAGCTGGTGAAGACACTTCTGCTGGGGTTATTATGTTATGTTTGATAACCGTGGGTTCTTATCCACAAGTGCAGAAAGAGATATACAAAGAGTAAGTAAATATATATATCATGATTGTTCTATGTTACTTTATTATTGCTTTCTAGTACTGTTTTTATGATAATAAATGTATCGCAGTGATATGGTACCTATATTGAAAAGCACCTTATAAACATAACACATTAAAATTAAATAAAGTCTACATCACAGATATGTACATCTAATTTTGATAAGGATTGTTTTGTTAATTGCCATTAAAACACTATCTTGTTTTGCTTAAAATAGAATCACCAAATTAATTTTAAAAAATTGGTAAGGATTTTGTTTTAAACCGTTATAACTATGAATTTTATATATTAATTCATTAAATAGCTTGAAAAAAAATATAACACGTGGAAGTATTTCTACTTATTTAATATTTTTTTTTATATAAGAGGAACTTTGTCCTTTCAATTCATATAGGGATTTAACAGATTTTTTCTATTATTCAGATTTTAGAGGCGTCTTGGAAATAAATAAGGATATAAGTTGCTAAAATATAAAATTTTTTTGGAGTACTAGTACAAATGAATGTAAAAAAGTTTGATTTCAAAAAAGAAAACTATAGTTTAAGAGCCTTTTCTACGCCTTTTGCATCTTCTTTTTATTTAATAAATATTTGAGGCTTCAGATTATAAAACTTTGAATTTTAGGTTAGAACAGATTTTTGGTGATGAAGACAGAGATGTGACGAAAGAAGACCTTTCAAAACTGGTTTATTTAGAGGCAGTGATAAAAGAGACGATGCGTTTTTACCCAGTAGTACCTATCATAGGACGAGATCTCGATAAAGACATCAAATTAAGTGAGTAGTTTAATTATGAATATCACATAGGTCAAGTTATTTTTGCGAAATTATTAAATATAAAACACGTATCAATTTTTTTAGGTAACTGCACATTATCAAAAGGTCGCTCTGCAGTTATATCGATTTATGGAATACATCGACACCCAATGTGGGGTCCAGACCCTGATAAGTTTAAACCGGAACGATGGCTTCACCTTCCATCAAATAGTCAAAAGTATTTTGCTGCTTTTGGTTTGGGTCGCAGAATTTGTATAGGTAAATATAAATAATATGAATTCAAATTTTTAGAAAATATTTTTATATTTAAATCCAAAAGAAAATATATGTCTAAAACATTATCTACATGATAACATTATTTAATCGTAGGAAAAACCATGGCAATCGCATCGCTGAAAGTTACTATGGCTCACATATTTCGAAATTATATAATTCATGGCGAACACACAAAAATGAAGTTAAAATATGAAGTTACGCTGAAAGCTGTTTCCGGACATCATATTACAATTGAGAGAAGGACTTAAAGTAAATGATAATTATAGCAATATTGATTGTAGCAAGATTGAAACAAGAATGAAACCTCATGATTTATAAAATTCTGTATTTTATTCAACTAATTATTTGTCAGAAAGCAAGAGCAAGAATATTGTTTTACTTGACTACGTGTCTATTTAAGAAGAAGAAAACATGCAATTTGTAAACTTTGATCAAGCTCTTATCATGTGATGTAATTCTGTATATACAATTCTTGCCAAGAAAATGGGATGAAATAGTGATTTCAGTTGTTTTAAGCGTGTAAGCGTTTTCTTATAATCTTTGCTTTTTCTCACATTGTAAAAAAAAATGAATTAAGATGTATAAATATTAGAACGAGTAGCCTTATATAAAACTAAATCAACAATGGCTTGTTTGTATAAGATCTTGTATTTTGTCTTAAAGAATATATACGAAAAATTAAATATAAATAATAACTGTTACTTACACAAGAGCAAAACGAAAATTTTTGTTATTGTTTAACACAAACTTCTTGTTAATATACAAGTTCAAATGCTGTTCTTGTGGTAAATTCCCACATTATGATATTAACTTATTATAATAAGAAACTTATTAATATTTAAATTTTATTGGCTTTGTTTATCTCATTTTTCTTATTAATATTTTTTAAATTTTTTAAATTAAATTCCTGATAATAAAAGATATGGCTATTTAACAAAAATAATAATCCTCTCAGCGATTTTGTAAGATATACAAACATTGCAGTTAAATAAATTTCTATAAAATAAAAGCCAACAAATTATCAAATACGTCTCTGTTTTTGATATAACATTTGACTATTGATAAACAACTAAATAAAAATAATTCTCAGTGTTTCTATACAGGTATTATCTTAACTTTTGACTTAATTGTTGTAGACTTATTTTTGTTGAGAATCTGAAACATATTTTAATAATAATAAATTTTTTATTGAAAGTTCAGAATGAAAAAATAATCAATACGAGCTGGATTTGAATCTACAATCACAAAATATCACGTTCAAGTTGAGTTGAGTTATTTAAAGTAACTGAATTAAGTATTTTATATATTGAACCGTTATATTAGAATGGCAATGCGATCTATAAGTTTTCCCTACAAGTGCTAAAATTAAAGTTTTTTAATTTTGTAGTAAAGAAGAAACACGTTAAAAATGTCAACACCGATATTTAATTCGCTTTCTTACATAACCTTTATTAAATTTAAACTAATAAGTAAGGAAAAAAACTGGGGTTATTATTTCAAGTTAAATAGTAATAAATATACAAATCCATTTTAGCCTTCGCTGACGATCTCGCAATACTGATTATCATTAGGCGGCCGAAACGTTCCTACGGTTACGGAAAATGCACCATTTAAATTTCTCGGTCGTAAGATTGATAATATAAGTTGAACTCAATCTTTAAAAGGAATAGTAGATAGCTCTTTAACTCGGCGGGAAGCGCACCCCATATACCAACACTGACTGTCACTACTGGGTAAAAAATACCATAATAATATTAATGTAAGAACAAAAGTTATTTTATTGATAATTAAATATAATCAATTTTATAATATATTGTGTTACATTTTCAATTAAACAAGACAGTTGGAAACTAATAAACGCTAAGTATAACATGTAATATTTGAAATTTTAAAACATAGCCCAAAAGCCTAGCCATTTTGTGCACCAAACGAAATATTTGCTAGTGTGGCTGGAGGGCTCTTTCCTGTTGTTTATTCGGAATATTATTATTTTGCTCGCCATTACCACCAAGTAAAAGTATTATTTTACTTTTCAAAAATGTATGTAGGCAGATTTAAGATGGTAGATTTACACTTAATTTGTGGCAATACAAGAGACAATACCTTCAAGTAATCTCTTCTAGGTCTCTTTCGTCACGATTTTCTTTATTAGTCGAACAGTCGAACATCTGTCGAAAGGTGTCTAAAACGGCGCTGCACAAAATTACTTACAAAAATAAATATTTTCGAAAGTATGCACTATGTGGTAAATTTTACCCGGTAGCGCCGAGTTAAACGATTTCAACAGGGTACACAGTCAACAAATCACTAACGTCAAAAATGATTGGATCTAAGATAATTATCTAAAATCCCGTTTGAATTGGCTTTTCCTCGTATATGATTTTAATAAAACCCTTTTGTCAAAGTTAGATGTAGCTGTGTTGAAGATGTGGTGAGTGAATACAATGGGTCAATTTAATTCATGATTGGTTTCCACCACTGCTAAAAGGTTATCTCAATGTGTTTCAGATGACTCTTCCAGATCAAAGTAATTTAATAAGATGGGATAGAAGTACAGAAAAAACTTGCTATATCTACGGGGAGATAGTTAGAGCTGCTAAACATTTGATGGTGGAATGTAGGGGACTCCTGGATAGTGGTCAATATTCGAGTCATTACGGGAGGGATTTAGAAATCATACATGTAGCGGTTAGTCTTTCGGTAGCCAGAGTGCAAAACGAAATAACCACAAACATGAGTTTATGAGAGAAGGTAGTAGCATTCTTCACATAGCTTTGCATTGGACCCTAATGATGGCGATGTATGAGAAACAATATAAAATCCCAGAGGAAATTAATGCGTCAGCGTCCAGACCAGGCATATTTTTATTTTCGCATATTTTAAAGCCCCTTGTGCTAATAGAGCTGTCGGTTCCTTAGGAAAACAACATCCCCATAGCCATACCGTCAAGGTCACCAAGTATTCGCAAGTATTAACAAGGTCAACAAGTATTAACAAACTCACTAACGAATTCACGTTCGTTGTGAATTCGTACGCCGTAGAAGTGGAAGCGACAGGTATAACGGCTAAATCTCTCTACAACTTACTAACAGACTTGTCTGCTCAGAACTAACATCCGTTCATTCTAGGCTGTGCGTCGAAGGCAACCCTAGTAGGTTCGATTCAAATTTGGTTAGGTAGAGAGAGGAGCTTGGATGGTGGAGGTGAGAGTTTAACGGCCGTTAGTACGGGGCGCCATAAACCTACACCTGCGTGGCAAGTTCCAGGTAATGTTGTTGCTCCTCTCCCTTCAAAGCATGGACCCAGCACCGCAAGGTGAATCCATGGAATGCTGAGAGGTTTCGCCTCTAACAAATTTATTCGAATCCTATTCCTATATTTTTTCATAATTTTAATTTAATTATTAAGTCTTTTAATTTGAAACCCATAAATTACCTGTCCTATATTCAATATTTTTTATTTCTACAATGTATGATTAAAACTAAATGAATTTATATAATATCTATGAATAAAAAAACAATCATGTTTTATTTTGGTCACTTGTCTAGACTTCAAATAATTTATTCAATTTAAATTGAACAACCGATTTAATAAGGTTCCATAATCCAGATAAAATTCCAAATCACCATTTGACCTTTACATTCAGTTCTTTTAATACTTCCTAGGGTAACAAATTTCTGTTTTCACCATTATTAATACACTATACAGTGCAATAGGAGGTTTTCAAAGTAAAATTATTAGAGGTTCAGATATTTCTTCTAATTTTTTACAGAGCTGAATAGTTACTTAGTTAAGAAATAACAACCATATAAATATTTAATCTTTCATATGCACCATAACAGCTTATATGTAAAATCGAGTATGAATTATTGCGATGAGAGACAACGGTTTCCTAATAATCATAATATGTATTTTTCTTGAGTAAAACTAAGTTTTATATAAATAATGTTCAGCGTTCAGGTACATTAACATGTTTAATTACAGAAATAAAATTAATTTAAATAAATTTTAAATCTTTGGTGTATCTGATACAGCCAGTTTATATATATTTATATTTAAAACCTCTAACTAATAATAAATTCGATTTTAGGAAAGCTGAATAAAGTAATTTTTTTTTAGGAATCTCGACTGCTGATATTTTCAGCTTAAAAATTCAATTAAAAATACATACATGTTATCAAATAAAAAATACTTCATTTCGTTTCAAAAAAAATAAATTAAGAGTACTATTTTCAATCATCCGGGTAACCCAGGAAACAAATTACCTCTATAATTTAAAGTATTTTAATTTTCTCCAAATATGTCTATATATTTCTTATTTGTTATTTTGTGACGCTTATTACTATTTTTATGAACCTTCATTTAAAACAGTTCAGACGCAGTGATAATAAAACCGTCCCGGATCAACACTTGAATGATATTGCCTGCGGATGTAATTAAAAACTGCTAAGTCAATTTAAAAACCAAAGAAATCTTGATTTCTTTCTTCTGATAATTTATCGATTTTCTAACAAACATGAAAACTGAGTTTTTAGGATGAATTAAAGTAATATTTTTGATAAAATCAAAATTTTATTGATTGACAATTCTGTTCTGTAATGATTTAGTGGTACAGTGTGCATTCGAAGAATCAACATTAATATTTTATTTTCAATAGACTTGTAGAAGAAAAGCCCTACAAGAGCTCAAACTTTTTTACTTACAATTGGAATCGAAAGAAACACTTTTTAAAACTTAGACATACAAACTAATTTAAGTAAACATTCAAAGATTAATGATTGACAATTAACTATTCAATATAACTTGTATTTAATCGTTTTGTTCATTTTTATATTTACAGACTGCAGACTGACATTACATTATTTTATGTTTCTATATAACCTACGTAACTTCTATATACATATAAATTGTAATAATTATAATGATTATATATTATTAAACTAAAATATTTTTTCAAACACTTTGCATATTACTTAAATGTTTTTATAAAGTGCTCTTATATGACAAAAGTAAAAGGTGATCAGTTCATATTTAGTCGGCTGGCTTAAGCTAATCGTTTGGGAATTGTAACCTAAATTAATCGTGTAAGTGCTAGGTTATTTATGTCTTTGAGATCAAATGAAAATGAAAGTTTTTAGCATGTGTTTTTAATCACAAAAATCTATTGTTTATGTTTTCCTAATGTCGTTATCAGATTTATAGAAACATTTACAGTTGCATATTATATTTGTTTAATGTTTTTGTATTGTTATGACGTTTTTCCAAAAGATTAATTTGGAATTAATTCAGTTTTGATACCGAGAATCGAATAACTTCAGAAAAATTATTTACTGTCATTAAGCTGTTTGGATTTAGTTGACCAAATCGTAGTGTTATTTATTATTTGAAATCGATTGAACAATGAAAGTTATAACAAACAAAATGAGACAAGTTATTGTGTCATTTAAAATTTTAACAAACCATTATACGAAATATAAAATAAGTTTGGAACTCCAATTGCTGTTTCGAGTCATCTTAATTTAAAAGGCGATCTCGCTTGGAAGCCGAGAGTGTGTTAAATTTCGGCAGGCGTGTTTCAAAAAGTTGGACGTTGGAAATTATCTAAGTTGTTAAAATACTAAGACTTGATTAATTTAAATTTATCAATAATTTAGAACATTGATTTCAGATTCAATACGTTTACCCATATAATAAAGTTTTGACTACGTTTCTTTGTATTTAAGTCTTTGAAAAGGAATTTTTAAGGAAATTAAGATTTAAACCACAAAAAAAAAACAGTGTAACAAATATTATTGTAAAACCTCAGTCCATTGTTGATATTACTGTATAATGTAAGAAAAAAACAACAAACAAATAGCTTTATAAGCAGCTTCTTTTGAAACTAACAACGGTGTTTTTATGGAAATTGTTATTAACTTAAATGGGAGTCTAGATCAATAATTGGGCTCGCCGCCCGAACAGAACCAAACCTGAACGTACGGCGATTGACGTACCGTAAGAGCCTATCGTAAAGAGCCATCAGACCACCACAGATAGGGGCTGGGTCGAGCCGGGTTTTACTTGTTGTAGTTGTACTTGAAATGATGTACCGTGGCCTGGCTCTGTACAAGAAAAGGTTTGGTGGGTTTTTAGTCGGTTGGAGTCTGACACTGCTTTTTGTCCCAACTAGGACGCGATGGGTCATTTGATGATTTTCACCATTAAAAAAAAGACCCACTAATTTGGCCTGGAATCGCGTAAGGGGGATCAGTGAAATCCATGACTAAACGAACTACTCAAGGAAAATATATCGCACTTTATTAAAATTTGTAGGCAACTGTTTGGTAACATTATTTTGTTAATTAGCAGTAATAATCCGGTGGCAAATAGTACGGCTTCCTTATGAAAAATGTAAATCACTAAACTTGCCAATAAAGTTATTTCATACATATATTTGGCTTTTTCTACATAAGCGAATAAAACTTTTCAAATGTTAAAAAAATAAAGTAAAAATTCAAAACATGGTATCTCTTTTAATCGTCAAAAAAATATATACACACATATATTGTAGTTGTTCAAGTTACATTTGTCTTCACATATTGATATACTTAAAAATTTATTGAAGGCGATATATCTCACCTCTTAGGGATGGTATTTGTATTTGTAGATGAAGCATTCAACCGAAATGTTAAATATTTCTATATATATTTCTTGTCCTGTCAGCAGTAAAAAAAACAATACAACAAACAAAAATATTGATTACAGACCAGACTATGTATATTGTATATTTTTGGGACCTTATTATGAGTATTTCTTCGAAGAAATTGGGTATTATATAGGTAACAAGATTTTTGTTAAAGACATTGTAAATAAACATAAAATGATTTTAATATAATATAATGCAATGTCTAAGAACTTCAAGGAAAGTCCATTTCTATTCAAATTGTTTATTAAGATTTTAAAAACATAATTTAAGCTGTTAAATTTTCCGTTGTGAAACGTCTCACAACAGAAAATATTATGAGCAAGTACTATGTATTTTACAACCTTAACTATTTATTACATACTTTCTCACAAAATGTTTGTTAATCGATTTATTCAAGTATTTTGTTATCTTTAAATATAATAAGAATTTTACGTTCTAAGAGTATTCTTTTAAAATTTATTTGTTTTTAGAAATTTATTTATAACAATGATCATAAAATGTTAATCAAAAAGTTCGTATATTTTAGGTGATGAAAAAATGATTGATACGTTATATGCTATAACAATTAAGACAATACATATATGTATATTTTGAACAATAAATAAATCAGTGATCTCAGTTATATTTTTTTTAATATAACGTTTTTATTTAATATAAACATTTTTTTATGTTTAGGTAAACTTATGTATATGCTGTGTAAGTATTATGTTCTCTTTTAAACAGTAATATAGTGTCCCGGAAACAGGTTTAAGTAGCATTCAAAATCATTATAAATTATTAACAATCTTGTTCGATTTACTTTTAAACATCAATCATTACAGTTATGTTATAATAAATATATATATATATTCAATATATAGTGTTGCTGCGATTATTAGCTCGTACTAAAAGATCTGATAGCACACTCAAAGCGATCGGTAATCTTGGCTTGTACTGTTGTAACGATATACCTGCATCATCTACTCCGCTGCCCACGCACCGTATCGGCGGTTTCATTGTTCGAGGTCGCGCACATGCGTGGTTGGTTCAAGTCGAATAATCTGTGTTAAATAGCGTTAAAACTTTAGTTTTAATTGCAAAGACTTTCGGTTATCTTCAAAATATTATATCTTCAAAATATTATATTATATATACATAGATTCCACATATATGTCACAATTTATGATATTTGATTAATTAGGTATATTTCTTTATCAACAATATATATACATGGATCAACTTTTAAGAATACTCCTCTGTATCACATTTTGCTTTTGCTTTTTACTTTGGTAGAAAATTGGACAAAAGATAAAATATTATTTATAAAGTAGGAACCCTCGTTGGACCTCGTTGAATATACATCTGGAGGAAGCAATAACTTCACTCCTTTTTACAACTAGGGATTGGATCCCGTCTCCCTGTGTCTGAGTTTCCTGGCATGGACTACAATTTGGATTATTCAAGATAAGGATTGATTGGAATGGTGAACTATTAGAATAGTGAGTTTACTGTTCAAGTTTCATCGTTGCTTACTCTCTTGATACAAGTCAACAATTATTATAAATTTAATTATAAAAAAATAATAATGAAGAAAAGTTACCAAATTGGATTGTACCATCTTATATACATATACAAGGACATAGTTCGAATTTAAATTATAAGTGTGATTAGTTATTATGGTTGTTTAATTACTTGAAATAAAGATTGTTTTTATACATTTGTTGACGAAAAGGTAAAATATGTACGTCAATTTAAAAATGTGTTTATAAATTAACTCTATTGCCATAATGTTTTTAATATTATATTTTTATTTATTTTAGCCCAGGGTTCCAACGCGTATTATTTGCTTGCATATGCTTCGCTATTTGAGACCTTTGTAAACTTGTAGGTTGAAGAAAATGTGATATACTCACATACCGCTCAGGGAAGAGCTTGTGTTTCATTCAGTTTAAAAGACAAATTCCGGCTCAGTAATAAAAATCAGAAAATTTATTTTTCGCTTAACAATTAGTACATTCTTTTTTTTTCTATAAAACCTGAAATGTTTCTAGAATGAAATATAATTTACATGTTACTCTTGAAACTCTGTGCCACTTAGCTAAAATTGTATAAGAATCTCTTTCATTACCCCTACTCTAAACGCAAAGTAAGTGAAAAGGACCCAAATAAACGGGCCAAATATGTAAGGACAGCTTTATTATAAGATAGTTTTGTTACCATTTCGCCATTTTTTTACTTAAAAAAAACAACCATAAAACAAGGTAAAAAACATCCAGTGTCCTAATTGTCACAAACATAAAATACTGAATTGATTTGATTGATTGATTTGACACAACCATAAAACACTATTGCAGCCTAAACTTGACAAAAAAATTCCAATGATACATTGAAGTTTTTTTTTGCTACTTAGTTTAATTACGGAATCTAAAATTAATATTTTTCAGATTTATTGATATATTTCAGAATATTTAGTCGTATAAAAACCACACAAAATAAACTTTACTCTTTGCAAACAAATTCAAAGAATAACTGAAATTTTAAGACAGAGACAATAGTTTATCATAGACTAATATAGTCTAAATTCTTCTTCTAAAACTAAAATTCTTTTTGTCCAGTCTCTTCTCCTACCTATCGTAGAGTACGCTGATTCCTGCTACCGTGACACTACTGAAGAACTTCTTAATAAACTTGAGAGGCTACAAAACCTTTGTATTCGTTATATTTTCGGACTCCGCAAATTTGACCATATCTCAAAATATCGAGCTGAACTCATGTGGCTTCCCATAAGACTTCGCAGGGATACACACGTTTTATGTCTTCTTTATATCGTACTATTTAATCCCCTGTACCCCACTTACTTTCGTGAGCGTTTTGTGTTCTTGAATCCCCCTGGTTCCCCATGTCGCCCCAATGTCCAGCTATTACTAAATATCCCATCCCATACTCAAATTTTTACTCCAACGCTTTCACTGTTAATGCAGCGAGATTGTGGAATTCGCTGCCATTTACAATTCGCTCTAGTAAGTCCGTCTACATTTTCAAAAAGAAATTGATAGAGTATTTCTTATCCCAATGTTAATTCGCGGTATAATGGCATAAACATATTTATTTATTTATATAAGTATGTATGAAATTTTTAAAATATATATTTATAAGATTTACTTATAGAGGTATTGAAATTAAATTAATTTTAATCTTTTTTTATTTTTTATTTCCTTTTTGTCTAGTATTGGTTTTATTCTAGTATTGGTATTTGGTTTTTGTAGTATCTTTTCTCCTTTTGTACGATTTTGCTGTCTACCTTTTAAGTTTTCTGTCTACATTTCTTCTTTCTCTTCTTTCTTGGGTGTACTGGAAGAAATCTCTTCTAGGGATAAGTATACTTTGTAAACTCATTTTTCCTGTGACATATTTTTGTTTTAAATATTTGAGGCATGTTTAATAAAATAGTTAAATAAATAGTCACACAAATGCATAGCTCAGCTTATGTCTCGTGCACAATAAAAAATCTCTAAAAAATTAGAGATAATATAAAATATATTTACGTTTTCGTTAATGTATAAAATAAATCTTAGAAATTGTTTTATGGAATAAAAATTTTAATTTACACAAACTAAATTTATGAACGCATGTCAACCATTACTTATACATAGTATTTGACAGGATGGATAAAAAGTGTTTGACAGGTACAAAGTGATATTAAGGGAAAATGATTCATCTTTCATTATTATAAACAGCTAAAGCTATAATAAACATTATTATGTTTTCGTCGAATTTTCATTATTTTTAAGATGTATTCTGCTATTCGGGGCTTAAACAAATCCAACGAACCAAAAACCATGAAAATTAGTCTAGCCGATCTCGAATTATAAGTGTTGTAGCAAACACGATTTTCTTTTATATATATAGATAACATAAATTTTTATTATAAAAAATCTTTGAAATATTTAAAAATTAATATTACTATTGAAAGGCAATAATTTTTTGAATTAGATATGAGAAAATTATGAATTTTATTAAATTGTATTATGATTTCGAAGGTACTATAATAACAGATTATGAAGTACACTCTATATTATGTGGAAAAAATGTAGCTCCTTAGAAAACTCTTTTACAGACAGAAATTGTTAAACCGGTTAAATTACAACGGTATAACTACGAACACGTCTGCCAGTGACCAAGGTTGCTGCAAAGTCATCGAAACGTCGGGAGTATGTTGTTAATATTAATACCTCATGTAGATTTTAAAAACATTAAAAAGATAAAAAAATAAAGAACAAAAACAAAAAATAAAAACGTATTAGAATTCATTACCAAATTAATTCTTTTAATAAGAATAGTATAAACTAAATAAGTGATAGAAAACAAATCTGTGAATTTACACCTATATTTTTTATACTTATGTTTCTGTTGAGTTTATTTTGCGTTATTATTATGGTTCTATTAAGAAAATATGAATGAACAATTAAACAAGAGTAAACTTTTTTGAATATATTAATTCGACTCTGATATGTATCACGTCAGTTCTTATTCGCATTTAGTGGTACAAGCATCACAAAAAGTTATTGGACACCTACATTGGTAAAGTTTAAATTTTTATATTATATTTATCTAATATACTAGTTCTTATGATGTATGTAACGAATAATAAAAAATAGAAGTTATTTTATATTATTACAAATTACCTTAATTTATTATTATGTACCTAATAATATTTAAAAAAATATTATTTCAAAATTCTTAGGGGACTACATTTAAGTTATTATTATTTAGAGACTCCTATCAATTACATACATAGCTGTAAAGACATGAGGATTTTGCTCTGTAAAAGTAAAATACAGAAAAAAATTGTTAGATTAGCCTCTTATTTTATTAAATTTAACGCGTATCCCTCCAAATGCATTTAATAAAGTGTGGTCATTTTTATATTATTAACAGACATACTAATTTTAAACATTTCTACTGATATGTGAAGAATCAAAGCTACATCAAAGGTCACTACTAGTTCAGATACAGTTGTAGTGGTATATGGATGGTAAAATTGTAAATATTTTGCTGTACTTTACATTGATAATTGATCTAGGTCTTTAATCTGCTGTCCAATTACTATATTTTAATTCTTCGATGGGATTCCGTTATATCGTCGCCGGCATAGTTACCACCCATCAGACCAACTCACGCCGCCAACAGACTTGTCGGGTTCCCGCATGTTATCTGATGAAGCCTTATGGGGGATTGGTTTAAACAGCTGGCATGTCATTTGTATCGAGTACAAGATACCATGATCGTTGTTGTTTTGGGTTCTTAGTTATGGTAGGTAGAGGAATCCAAGGACAACTGCTCCACTTTTTTTTTCTAAATGTGAAAAGTGGCAAACGAACAGACGGCCTGCATGGTGGACAGCAGTCACCGTCACCCATGGACATCCGTAACATAGAGATGTTCGTAAGTAAGGTTGGCAACTCATCCGCAACAGAGGTTGCGGATGAGTTGCCAACCTTGCTTTTCGAAAATAGGGAGCGAATAATGGAATGGCAGGAAAGGGTGGGAACAGGGAAAGGGCAACCGGCTAAGTGAGAGCACTTATCGGAGGAAACGTAATCATTAATGACTACTTCAAGCCGACCTTCTGGGAGAGGGTGTTACTTCCCCGGTCGAGCCAGCCCGGGTTCAAGCTGTAGTTACTTCACCACAGCTGGGCTCTACCACCTCTAAAACTATATATACCCACTGGCCTCCCGCAGGCCTAATTAGTGGCTAAGCAACCCAACAAAGGCTGCCCTACCCACTGTGTTTAATCCCAGGGTGGTTTCATCAAACCGATTAGCGATCGGATGAGAAGATCCGGTGGCATCATGATCATGTATCAAGTGGCATATTCCCATTATGTATCACGTGATATATAATAATACAAGTGTTGTAACCCGATGCCAATAAGTTGTATTCTGTCGTATTATAATGCTTAATCTACATTTATGAAAAGTTTAATCAAACTAGTTTAGAAGTGTTTGCGTCCAAGGGCAAACAAAACACGTTCGTACTTCTATTTAATAGATGTTCAATGACTTTTATGTTTGTGTACTCATAAGTACCTAACTTTTATATTTGTGGGATTATTATTTATTATTGGTAATATTCATACTAATTAATAGGTTATATTCGAGATGTTCCTATTATTATTGCTGTGGACGTTGGTATTTCTATTTTGGATATGGCTAAGAACAGATACAAATAAAGATGAACCACCAACAATGGTTAATTTAAACTGGAGAAAAATATATCGCTTTACAACAGATACCGAGGGTAAGTAACAGATACCCACAAAGCTAAGGTGTTTATCTGTTCTTATTGAGTCATAATTTATATTTAACCTTTACCTACTTCAGATATCTAAATGATTTTCGAAAAATTCATTTAGTGAGAAGGCTAAATGAGATGTTTCGATGTATAAAAGAGTGTGTATGATTTGATTTAAAATACCATCGAAACGGTTTATATCTTTCTACTAACCAGTTATTTAAAGTTGGCGATTTTGATCATGTTTACTTAGTGGGTAAAAATTACTTACTTCTTAACTATCACAGTTTCATAGTTTACAAAAAAAAAAGTCGGTCGTACACCAAGTTTTGTCATAATTACTTATTCATATTTATATTACGGTGAATAAAAAACCTTTTTTAAGCATTCGATAATAAATATAAGTTGTTATCATAAATTAAAAAAAAATAAATTAATATCACCAATGATATTTTTGAATACAAATTAAATTACAGTTTTAAATCGTCAGTTTGGTATATAATAAGTAAATAAACAACTAAAACTTATTTATATTGTAGGTTTCTGGAGTCTTATAAAAGAAATGAGCCTAGAGTGTCAAAAACTAGATGGGGTTATGAAAGTGCCTTTAGGTCCTCGCACCGTATATGGTATACATTTTTACAATTAAATTATTTTGTTTTGGTATTTATAATTTTAATATACTTTGTTTGTTTTTATTAAAAATACTTTTAATTAATGCAATTACTTCTATCATATAATTATTCGCAGTGCTAACAAACCCTGAAGATTGTTTGACTGTGTCAAATGCGTGCTTACAAAAGGATTCTGTTTATGACTTTGCTAAAAACTGGATTGGAGATGGACTAATCACTGCGTCTGGTGAGTCATTTGAACTGTTGTTCATAGTGAAAAACTTATTTGAATAATAATTAAACATTACCTACGATAAAAATATTATATTTCATTTCTTCACTCATACTTTTTATAAGCAACTCGGTAATTATGATCGTAAATCAGCGTGTTGTATTAAATAAAATATCACTAAAAATTATATTTTATTTAAAACAACACTTTGTTCTAGCAGAAATATTTACCTTAACAAATTTACGAAATTGATACGCATAAACCTATTAACAATTTAAAAATAGTCTAAATATATAAACACTCGGAATACTAAAAATGTTAGCTATCAACCGAAACAATACTTTACTTATTGTAAATATCAAGGCCTGACTTTTTACTACATCTACCAATACTTAGATTAGATATATTGTGGGAATCTTGATATATAAAAATCATAAATTTGGTTTCATCTTCCTCCAAACACGGACACACTTAGTATCTGAACAACAAATACAAAAGTAATTGGTAAGAAGCAAAATATTGAATGTATTGTACAAAATACGAAATATTACTCATTAATTAAAACGAGTTTCCTCATATACATCCGACCTTTATCTTTGTACATTAACGTATCAAATTCATTGAGTACAGATCAGATAATACAGATCATGATTTATTTTTTAACACTTTAATTACAGCCAGTTACAAAATTATGGAATGTTGTACAATAATTTCCATGACGTAATGAAGGTCTTTAGCATTAATATCCCAAAAAAAAAAATCTTATAACGCGCGGTATGAAGTCTGTTAATATCTAGTTTATATGTACCTCTTCTTATATTATACATATTTATATTTAAAAAATCGTCTTCGTTTTTTATAGATAGTGTAGATTTAAATTACAATGCTATCACACAAGTAGTTTTTTTTAAACTTATAAAATTTTCCGCTAATATGAAAATATGGAAGTTTATTTCTTTGTCGTAGTTGAACATAAATAAATGATATACACATTAACATCTATGATACCGTTAACAGAAAAAAATAAAAGTATTTATTCTTAATGAGATTAATCCAATATAATTTTATTAGAATATGGTTATACATATGTAAATTTTTATTTTTACAGTACCTATTTGGAAAATGCACCGAAAATTATTAGATCCACTATTTAGTGCTCGTATATTGAACAACTTTATGGAAGTATTCAACACTCTTTCTCGTGTCCTTATCAAAAATCTGGAAGTAGAAGTTGGGAAAGGCCCCTTTGATCCCTATGTTTATTCAAGACGTCAAGCTTTGGAGTTAATATGTAGTGAGTATCTATTTTACTATATTATCAAACATAAAAGTAATATTAAAAATATATCTATAATTAAGTTTAAGTTTTAGGTATAACTTTATTTCCTTCTTATTTAATTTTAAAATTTTTAATTTAAATTTAATTTTACCTTTTTTAGTGATTAAAATTTTTTGCCAAAATTCAACGAGAGGTACTAACATTTATGATGTTATACCCGAATAACAACTACATTAACATTTCAAATTTTTTTGCGTTATCATATTTTAAAGCCTTTTCTGTCCATTCTAATTTTTATCACGTTTGAGAATGAGCTAAAGTTTACTTATTCGTTAATAACCATAAGTAAAATAAAGATGTTTCTTTTTTGTGTATGTTTATTGAACGTATTAAATTTTTATTAAATTATATACATTCTCCATATATTATAAAATACCTCATAGATATAAACTTGTAAATGATATCGTCCTATTCAAAGATATTGTGCCAATGTACAAGTTTGTGCTCATTGTTCTTTAAATTGTATTTATCTCTTTGTCTTTTCTTAAGTTTATAAATCAAATATATTATGTTTATAAAGAAGTCTAAGAGGATGACATATTTCCCAATGCTGACATTGGTTTTCTAAGATATTAAACGTTATATTTAGATATCTTAAATTTAAAACCAATTTATTTTAAAAGGTGACACTGTTTTATCATCGTGGATGATAAAGTGGTTTACTGGGATTTCACCACACATTACAATTAATATTTTATACGATTTTAAAATTTAATAGGGCATTGATAACACTCCAGGTTAACTGAAGTGACAAAATGTGGAAAACGATTTACTATTGAAAAAAAATAATATGTGGCAATTGTGTAGCAGCAAATCTCTAAAATTTTGTCAAAATCTTTTATAAATTCAATGTAACTAAGTCTTTAAGATAAAATTAATGCCTATCCACTTGCCTTTGCGCCCTACATTCTCTTGTCCTACAAGTTAAATAACTTTTTCCAATGAAACAAGTATTTGGGACAAGGTATTATATATTTTCTCATTTTATTTATAAATTTGATAGAGATTTAAACAGGTTTATTTTCATGCATCTTACAGTGACTTCTTTTGGAACGAAGTTAATGGAGAACCTTGAATCTAAAAATAAATACATGAATAATGTAAACCTATTAATGAATGTTTATACATCTAGGTTACAGGTGTTTTATTTACATAATAAATTTTTGTATAGTTTTTCAAATTTAAAGAAAAAAGAAGACGAATATATTGGGACATTGAGTAATATTACAAGCACAGTGAGTATAATTAATTTAGCTCAGTTTATATATGATTTATATAATATATAATATGTAACTAATACATTAATAAATCTAATGGGTACATATATATACAATTCCTTGTCCAATAGCGAGTCTAATTTCCTCCGTAAAATTTTTTGAATAAAAAAAATTTTCACATATAAAAATTGTATAAAATTATATAAATTTTGAAATATATCTATTATTTGTAGTTTTAATTAGAATGTTTGTGAAATTATTTGATAGATGGTCTTAAATGTAATAATTTTTGAATTTTTACGCGTGGATTTTCCTAAAAGAATCTTTGATTTCCTATTTAATATTTTTTACATAAATTTATAAGAATCAGTAATATTTTGAAGGAGATACGAATTTAGTCTAATACTCGTATGAAATGAATTTATTGTAATGGGAAGGAATATGTTACAAATCATAAACCTGGTTATTAAGTGCGTGTGTTTTTGTCGTGATTGCCTGAATAATTTCTTAAACCTGAATATTTATTTTCTAAAATTGTTTCAAAAAATTGCCTTTGTTTGTTCAGAAACCACTTCTTCAGGCCTGTATGTAGTATTCATTAATTGTTTAGGGTGCCTTTCGATTAACAAAAAACAAAAGAGTAAAACTTCTTTACAGAAATCACTTATATTGGATCGTTCTAATTGATCCAGGCTCAATAAAATTAAAGCTTAATTGTAATACCTAAAATAAAACTTAAATTTTTGCATTTCAATGAGCATATTTCTAAAAAATATAAAGGTAGCTTGAAGGTGTTTTAAAAGTAAATGTAATCGTTTTTGTGGTCAGAGTTATAAATTCTCTATTTTTAATTTCTTAAATATCTATATTAACAAAAATATCAATTTTTTAGGCTGATCTGAACACCAAAGTTTTATTTTACAATGATAAATTTGTTGCAGGTTCTTAATGAAATCAAAACAAACTTTAAATCAGAAAAATCTTTTAATAAGGAAGAAGAGAAAACAGAAGGTTGTTATTTTTATTTTCTTTTTAAAAATAATTACTTTTTTCCAACATATTTAAATAATATCTTTTTCTTTTCTAGGTTTCGTATTCGAACCACTGGCTGAAACTATTTTGAAAATTCGTGAGAATAATACGCAATTCACTGATCAGAATATAAGAGAACATGTAGATACATTTATTGGAGCTGGTGAAGATACTTCTGCCGGGGTTATTATGTTTTGTTTGGTAACAGTGGGTTCTTATCCAAGAGTACAGAAAGAGATACACAAAGAGTAAGTAAATATATCATGATTTTTTATGTTACGTTCATATTGCTTTTATTTCTGATTTTATTATAATAAGAGTATGGTAATGTTCTCGTAACTATACAAAAAAGATAATAGCTTATAATAATAAGAGGTAAAAATCTATATCAAGCTAAAGCAAATTTTGGGAACAATTGTTTTGTTAGTTGCAATAAAAGACACTATCCTTTTTTAACTTCAGACAGAACTATCAAATTTTCTGATTTTGTCTTAAGCTATTGTAACTTTGAAATCAAAGTAAGAATGTATATCAAATTAAACCTTTTTGAAAAAACTTTAAACACCTAGGAGTGTTTTTAATTATTGTCTTATTTTTTACATAAGAAAACCTATTTCCTTTCGAATCATACGAAAGTAAAAAGATTTTTTTGAGCAAGTTTGAGTTGTTAATGTTTACTAAACACAATTATTTTTTGGATAAATGTTGGAAAGTGCACACGATATAAGTTACTACAAGAACACTTAAAATTTTAGGTTAAAACAGATTTTTGGCGACGAAGACAGAGATGTGACGAAAGAAGACCTTTCAAAACTAGTTTACTTAGAGGCAGTAATAAAAGAGACGATGCGTTTTTACCCTATAGTACCTATTATAGCACGAAAACTCGATAAAGACGTCAAATTAAGTGTGTAGTTTATTTAATTATTAATATCACATACAGCAAGTTTTCATTTGTGAAATTATTGAATATATAATACGTGTTACTTTATTTAGGTAACTGCACCTTATCAAAAGGTCGCTCCGCAGTTATATCGATCTATGGAATACACCGACATCCAATGTGGGGTCCAGACACTGATGAGTTTAGACCGGAACGATGGCTTGACCTTCCATCAAGTAGTCAAAAGTATTTTGCTGCTTTTAGCTTGGGTCGCAGAGTTTGTATAGGTAAATATAAATAATATGAATCAAAAGTTTTAAAAAGTATTTGTATATTTAATTTAAAAAAATGTTTGAAATTTTGACTACATGATAACATTATTTAATCGTAGGAAAAACCATGGCAATAGCGGCCTTGAAAGTTACTATGGCTCACATATTTCAAAACTACATCATTCATGGTGAACACACAAATATGAAATTAAAATTTGAAATTACTATAAAATCTATTTCCGGACATTATATTACAATTGAGAAAAGGACTAAAAATAAATGATAATTATTGTAGCAAGGTTGGAGCAAGATTGAAGCCTGATAACATACATATAAATATCTGTATTCAATTCAACTACATATTTGTTAGAAAGAGTAAGAAAGAGTTTTACTATCTGTCTCTTTTAGAAAAGGAAATTATGAAGTTTGTATATTTTGATTAAGCTTCTATCATTTGATGTAATTCCGTAAATACAATTCTAACCAAGAAATTGGGATGCAATATTGATTTTACTTTTTTTATGTGAACAATTTCTTAAAGTCTTTGATTTTTTCCCATTGTAAAACAATACTGAATTAAGACGAAATATTATTAGAAAATGTGGCCTTATGACAATCTAAATTAACTACATATATCTCGTTTGTACAAAAACTTGTCTTAAAGAAAGGTATTCATATACGTCAAATTAAATATATATTAAGAACTACTGTTACTTAAACAACATCACAACAAAAATTAAGTTCATTATTCAAATTTGTTGTTAATTTATGAAGTTAAAGAGTTAGCCTTGTGACAAATTACTCATATTAAGATATTAATTTTAAAAGTACAAGAATATTTTTTCATTTGATTTTTTTTTTATCTTTTCTGCTATTTTTTAACATAAACAAACGGGGCCGCTAACTAACTTTTTATAAAATAAGAGCCGACAAACCTCAAATTTAATAAAGTAATTTTCGTTTATGGCATCATCAGGTCATGTTTAAGTACAAAAAAATATAAAAACTATCTAAAACGATACATATACTATAGTTACATAGGTATAAGTCGAAACGAAAAATAAAAATATTGAACATTATACGGAAATACAGATATTTAGGTTACTGTCCATTTTTCCCATCTGACTTCATCATAGGACCATCTGGGAAATCTGTAAATAAACAAATTGAGATTGGTTGGAGTTTAAGTTAATAGTTCATTTGTTGCATACATACTTAATGTTAATTTTAAACTTATATGGTTTTCCCACAGTTGCCATTGTGCGAACTGGACCAAATTTAAATGAACCAAATGCACCAGCAGCAGCTTTCAAATTTAATAAATCATCAAAATCGCTTCAGCCAGTCGAAAGTTATTAGGTAACAAACATTAAAACAAAATACAGAAAAATTGATTAGCTCCCCCTTGTTTCAAGTCTGTTGAAAACCATATAGTTCCAATGTTTTTAAATTACATATCACCATTTGATCTTTATATTTTACTAGAAGACCTGGCGAACTTCGTATCGCCCTATAATCAAGAAATATCTGTTACGTTTTTTTATTTATATTTTTGGAGTTTACCTATTAAAGCCATAAATCTCAGAGTTTTGAAGTGCGACAGAATGATTGACATATTAGTTAGTTGTCAAATCTAATGTCAAAAAAAACGTTTGTATGGGAAATAGAAAAGGGCAGTTTTTATGGTTTTCCCAGTAATGAATCAATTTTTTTCAGCTTTTATACCTTCCCTGAACCTCCACAAACATTTCAAGACTAAGATAAGATAAATCCGTTCAGCTGTTCTCGAGTTTTAGCGAGACTAAGGAACAGCAATCCATTTTTATATATATAGAAGATTTCATACTATTTTAAGTATTAAAACAAATACTCAAAATAATTTTGAAAGTTTCAAAAATGATGAAATCGAAACATCGAATCAAAACACGAATGGTGATAAGAGACAACCATTTCATGATTATCATATTTTTTCTTCAGTAAGGTAAGGTTACACGTAAATAATGTTCATACTTCAGATACACAATTTATTTTCATAAAATACTTCCCGTTGCATACAAATAAAATGATTTAAAAAACGTTTTTATTCTTTGTTATGTCTATCTTGCTTGTTTACAGATAACAATATAATAAAAAATACAAAACCCCTGACGGATGTCGAATTCAAACTCTAGGGAAAACGAATTCTGTAAAAATTTTGACGTATCCCGACTGCTGACACTACCAGTTAAAAATTCCAGTTAAAAACAGATTTTATCAAATAAAAATACTTCATACCGTTTTTAAAAAAAATAAGAGGATAGTTATTAAGTTATTAATCTAAATTACCCAGATAATAATCCAAATCACCCAGGAAACAAAGTAAAGCTAAACTATTTATATTTTGAACTGGTCAAATCAGATAATGGACGGATTTTAATATTTTATTCACAAAAAAATACACAAGAAAACATTACTCGACCTAAACGAACATAATCTTCTTTAAGTTATCCAACATCAAGAACATTTTTTACGTGCGTGGTCTTTACTGTAAGAAACAATATCTTTTATTTAAATATTGAGGACAAAGTGTAAGTAAAATATACGTTATATACAGTAATTTATTATATTACTTTAAGTTGACTTTAATTGACATGTCATGTTCAGATATATTTATATATAGTGTGAAAGTATCCCCATTGTCTTTTAACAAAGATATAACTTTCATGGGCGCCGGTCACTACTGACCATCAAGTTGGCCGTCTGCTCGTTTGCCACCTTTCTTATAAAAAAACCTTCGATAATATATCCCATAAATAAAATTTAAAAAAATTCATTCACTCTATGTTTAGGTAGGATAACATTTTTAATTAAAGGTACTGAACTATAAATTACCAAGTGACGGCAAGATAACCAATGTAGTGTAGCCATCATCTGTCCCTCAATACAGTATATTTAATAATAATGTATATTTCGTTTTACAACAAACAAACAATTTTCACGAGTAAAAGTTAATATCCTCTTTCAATAAACTCTTAAAAGAGTTATCACGAACAGACAGATGCTAATTTAACTTTCTCAATCTTATTGAAATGGAAAAAGTTTCAACAACACCTAAGTTTTGAATATTTTATCATCGGTTTCGAGATCTTCAACGTGTCTGCTTAAGTTCTGGAATCTCGAATATAAAAAATATTTATTATATATTTAGATCATCTGAATTTGATTTGTTATGACATAATTTTTTAATGGTATGATGGTAAATAATAATTCTTTACTACATATATCAGCCATACGTTTCATGAATATTGAAATATTTATGTAAAACTGAAATAAAAATATCTATTTCATTATTCTAGTAATGTTTACTTATTGTAACATGAATCCGAAGGCAGAAAGGTATATTTTTAAGTACATTGATACTGAATATATTCAAGCAAACGTAATATTTCACATATTTCATGCTAGAGAGCTACATATAATTTTCTGTTTAGAAAAACACAGAAGTGACTTAAACCGATTTACTTCGCATACGTGGAGTGAGATCAGGGACATGACATTCATTACTTTTGATAAGGGTGTACCAGGTGTTATTTTTTGTAAATAACTACGATCAGTGGGTGAATCCTTCCTATATTCTATTATTTGTAATGTTAACCTGTCATATACAGCGTTGCGTTTCCTTTATCTGAAAGGAATATAGTAATGTTTTTCTTAGGCAATTTACATACGTGCAGGGTACATAATATGACTTGTCTATTGCTTCAGACGATTCCTTCGTGGTTAAATTGTTACGAAAACATTTGTGAACGTTACAAATATTGTTGTTAAACTGTAATTTTCGTTGGTACCGGGGCAAAATTTTGCAATTTCTCTAAGCTATCTTTACCTTTGGTTAACTATTTATTGCTTTATTAAAATATAAAATAGGGAAACTGAACAAAAAAAAATTAGTTTTATTCAAATGTATTCAGGAAGGTCTCTGCTACAATTATGTCTTATTCTTCTTCTCATCAAAAAAGGATTAATGTCCAAACATTGATATTTCAATAGAGATAGTACGAACGATTACTGACACGTTGAATAGATTAATTATAAAATAGGTTAATGACAAGTTAAATTGATTAGATTTTATAAATGATTTACAATTTTACCTATAGTGTCGTGTTAATTAATTTATATACGTAAATGGATATCCTGTTATCAATAAGTATATATTTTAGAGTGACTTTAAATAGTTTCCATTTGTTCTTTTTCAAATCGTTTTCAAAGCAATACATAAAAAAACATACATGGTCAAAGTTGTTGGCATAGATTGATTTGAGCTTCAAGTTCAGAATACTTCTTTAATAAATTCGCAATAGGATTCTTAGGTACTGACAGCTAGTAATTAAAGTTTGCGAAGGTTATTGAAATGAATAAAATTCTAAGTGAATTTTAAAATAATTAGAACTCAAGAACTGAAAACTCAGAAGTGTGAAATTTATGCTAGAAATATTCAAATTTATTATTACAATATACAATATTACATATAAAAACTTAGTGAAGATTCATATATAGAGAATAATTTTTTTTTTTTTTTTTCTACGAGGGGAATCTTTTAAAGACTTCCTGCCGCGGGGGAAACGCGACAGGGGCATGTGGGATTTCCACCCACTAAACCACCTCGACGTTCTCTGCGCTGTGCGTAGACTAGTGAGCGGGAACGGCAAGCCATACTTCCGCTCACTACGCACGAGTCCCGAAAGGGACTCCGCCATCGGCAGGGGTATCAGTGGCTGACCACACCACCCCTCCGACTCGAGCAGATATAGAGAATAATATGCTTGCTTTGTGTAACAACGATGAAACTTACTTATCAAAAAGACTGATAACAATTAATGCAATAAAAATGTCATAATTTTATTTTATATTTATTACAAAAAAGAAGTAGTAAGATATAAGGTATATTTTGTATTAGTACTTTATTTGTATGAATAAACTTATACATAATAACTTGTTCCATAAATTTTACTATACTTTTTTTTTATCGAGGGGAA